GGGGGTGGGATTGGGGTCCCTGGGGTGCTTGGGGGTTGTTGGGGAGGCAAAAGTGACCCCAGGATTTGGGACGGGGGACCCCGGACACGCCCTGGGGTCTCCTGTCCTCCCTTCCCCCTGGGCTGACCCCACTGCCCTCCCCAGTCCCTCACTGAGGAACTCTCTCCGTGTCCCCTCTGTGCCCCCCAGTGTCCCCCAGTGTCCCCCAGTGCCCCCCAGTGTCCCACTCAGTGTCCCCCAGTGTCCCTCAGTGTCCCCCAGTGTCCCCCAGTGTCCCCTCTGTGTCCCCCAGTGTCCCCCAGTGTCCCACTCAGTGTCCCACTCTGTGTCCCCCAGTGCCCACTCTGCTCCCCGTGGCCTCTCCCCTCCATGGCTCTCCTGGCTCTCACCGTGGCCCTGCTGGCCGTGCCCGTGGCCACCATGGCAATGGAGGAGGTGGCCCTGGACATGGCCCCGGCCTCCTTCGATGACCAGTACCGGGACTGTGGCCTTGCCATGAGCAGGGCCCTGCCGGCCCTGAAACGCTCTGACTTCCAGAACAATGCTGAGTTTGCCCGGGTCTGGCCCGAGGCTGAGTCCAAGTGGCAGGGTCGGGAGTCCCGTGTGTCACCTCTGTCCCCAGCCCAGGCCAGCGCCATCACGGCCTACACCATGAATTACCTGTACAAGGATTTCAACGAGAAAGTGAGCGTGGCCGGGATCTCCCCCCAGCAATACCGGCAGAATTTCCACTACAAAACTCTGCATTTCCTGCTCACCGACGCCCTGGCCACGCTGAGGGACGCTGGGAAGGGACAGAAATGTCACTGTGTGGTGCGGGGGGTGAACGACAAAGTGTTCAAGGCAAAGCTCGGGGCCACCGTCAGGTTCGGTCGATTCACGTCGGCGTCACTTTGTGAAAACGTTGCCCAAGGATTCGGCACCCACACGGTGTTCCGGGTGAGGACGTGCCAGGGCGCCTCCATCCGGGAATTCTCTGAATATCCCGACGAGGACGAGGTGCTGATCCCGCCCTTCGAGACCTTCAACGTCACCAAAGTCATCCCCAAAGGGGACGAAGTGGAGATCCACCTCAACTCCACTGGCACCTACAGCAAATACAACTGCGAGTGGGTGACAGGTGGGGACAGCCTGGGGACAGCCTGGGGACAGCCTGGGGCCATGGGGACAGCAATGGGGCCATGGGGACAGCCTGGGGACAGCAATGGGGACAGCCTGGGGACAGCCTGGGGACAGCAATGGGGACATGGGGACAGCAATGGGGACATGGGGACAGCAATGGGGACAGCCTGGGGACAGCCTGGGGACATGGGGACAGCCTGGGGACAGCAATGGGGACATGGGGACAGCAATGGGGACATGGGGACAGCCATGGGGACAGCCTGGGGACACCCATTGGGGCCATGGGGACACCCATTGGGGCCATGGGGACAGCCTGGGGACACCCATTGGGGCCATGGGGACAGCCATGATGAGACACAGGGGACAATGACACTCCCGGGGGATGGGGGACAGGGACAGGGGCACCCACGGAGTGTGTGGGGACAAGGACACCCCGTGCTGGGGACACCAAGTGTGGGGACAGGGATGCCCATGACAGGGA